AGAGGCGTCTACAAATAAAAAATTAGAGCTTCTTGATGTGGCTTTTATGCAAAGAAAACCGATGTTTCAGTTGGGCAAATGAATTGAGCATTTTTAAGCAATGAGCCATTAGATGGATCTACTCAATAATTAGTTTGAAGTGATTAAAAAAAAATAAGGAAGTTTTAAACTGCGAAACATCATGTTGGATCATTTGCCATCCCAATCAATTGAAAAAAGAAATGACATGAATCGGTAAAGATCAATACTAAACTAATTAACGAATAACGGCCAATCCGCACTGGACGTTGTAGACAATCGCTTGCTGCAATCCACTGGACGAATCGTGACATTTGAGATGCAAAACACGAACTTCCCAATAGGTAAATAATGTACAACCAAATTCCGAAAAATCGAATGAAGCGACCCTTTGACACCATGGCGTTCCTCTGCATGACTCTTTGACTACCTCCCCGCTCCCCCCCCCCCCCCCCCCCCCCCCCCACCTCCTTTATTGGAGTCCGACAATTTGCAGGGGAAAAACAACTATAAATTATAATCACCACCTTAATGGAAATCGATTTCTGAACAGGACATTCCACTGAAACATTAAGTTATTGATTTTTATGAGATGGAATGGGAATATACGATACATTCTTTAAATTTAGTTGATGCATTATTGCACAAAGAGTACCGATAACTAATTATTGTACATTTTAATGCTTTCTACAAATCGCTTTAAATAAATTGCCAAAAGTACTAAAATTGAGATTTAAAAATATCCTATCAAATCAGCAAGAAACTACTGTGAAGCACAAATCAATCTCAACAATCAGCTCTTTTGTGATTATGATTACCCATCTCACAATATGAGCAATGGAGTCACAAGAGAGGTTAGTATAAATAATATCAGTCCATAAGAGAGAGTGTGAATGTAACAAATGAATCCCATCTTTACCGGTGGCGTCGGTCATTTCAGTGATGACTTCAATTTGTCTACGATGTTGTAGAACACCATTGAGTTTGCGAACGATGACTAGAGTAAGTTGACAACCGGCAGGTAAACGAAAATCGGGTGCAAAGCGATGCACTAAGGCAACAAGAAGACGCAAGGTTGCTACGAGATCCTTGGAGAAGATGGCGGCAACTGGCCAGTTTTGGGCAGCGTAGACCTCCGGCACACCCAGAACATTGTTGATCTCCTCCAAAACCATCTAAAAGTAAGGAAACAAGTATTCAGCCAATATCTTGTCCAAATACGATGGAATTCAAATAAAGCTATGCTTCATTTGAATCGTGCAAACTACCACTTGAAGGAAAATTTTGCCAGCTTATAATAATTCACAAGTCAGTAAAGGAAAGATGACACAAAAAAAACCAATCGTTGAGACGCAGTCACTCGGAGTGTTTTTCTACTTCTGCAACCGAACAAATTTGAAATAGAGTGGGAAGTTCAAATGGAGGCAGAGCTTCTGCAATGTAAATCAATATCTGCTAAAAATATTACTCGTTTGTGAAAAAAGTCAAGCTCCAGCCAAAGGCTCCCACAAATCTCAGAAAAAAAGAGAAGGAAGGAGTGGGGTGTTGTAAGGGAGTTGTTTTCCATCATGATAACGCAAGGCCTCCCTCTCCCACACCTTTGGTTACTCGGCAAAAATGATTGGAACTGGGTTGGGAGGTTTTGTCACACCCACCATATAGCCCTCACCTTGCGCCTTGCTCGGCAAAAATTATTGGAACTGGGTTGGGATGTTTTTGGCAAAAATTATAGGAACTAGGTTGGGATGTTTTGTCACATACACCATATAGCCCTCACCTTGCGCCTTCGGATTATCATTTGTTTCGTTCCATGCAAATCTTGCGCCTTCGAATTATCATTTGTTTCGTTCCATCAAAACTCTTTAAATGGTAAAATTTGTAACAACGCGGATCTGTCAGGATCACACCTAATTCAGTTTTTTAATAGCAAAGACCAGACATTTTACAAAGCCAGACATTTTACGAACGGGGAATTTTCACTCTGCCAGAATTACGAACTCAGTTTTTTTAATAGCAAAGACCAGACATTTTACGAACAGTATTTTACGAACGGGGAATTTTTACTCTGCCAGAAGGATGGTATTTTACGAACGGGGAATTTTTGCTCTGCCAGAACGATGGGAAAAGGTCATTCGACAAGATGGCCAATATCTAATTGAATAAAGTTATATTTTTAAACAAAAAAAATATTTAATTGAATAAAGTTATATTTTTAAACAAAAATTAAGAATTTGCCTTCTTATTTGAAATCGGCAATGACTTAGTTGCCAAGAGAATAAATTTTGACTCGCGTTAATTAAATACCTCAAGGGGGAAAATAAAACAATATAATACTCCAATTTCATACCTTCAGAAATATGGTAGTTGCGATGGTGTTTTAGTCTTTTAGGCTCACTTCTTTGATTGTGCTTTACCAAAGGCTATTAATCGATATTTCTCGTATGTGGTCTTTGAATATAATCTACGCAACTTATGATGATTAATAAACAAATAATTTAAACTTCAATTTCTTCTAAAAACTCACCCTTAGTCTCTGTTTCTGACCCATTTCAGTTTGTGTTAATTCAGGTTGATTAAGAGATTCGCCTGTGAGTTTTTCGATCAATTTTTGCAGAACTTGTCCATCGTAAAGATCCGCTTCAATATCACGAACGAGGATCCTCTCATCGATCAACTCCTTGTTAATCCACTCAATCAACTTTTGAATGAGTTCAACTATCAGTGGTTGCTCCTGTGAGTGAAAAAGGCATTATTGAAACACATAAAGGATGGATAATGTTAATTTCGTGTAGGATGCTTGAAATTTGGGGAAAATCAATCAATATGGGGAGAAGAATGTATTTAAAAGCGCCAAGGTCAATCACCAAAATCAGACAGTAGGACAATACGCTAAGTAATAAAGGCAACGAACTATTAGATTAGAATTTGGAACGTGAACGGCCAACAAAATAAGACCCTTGTGTATTTCACCATACTCTCCCTTATAATTTTAATGCATTCTTATTGCGAAAATTTGTACACTCTCATCCTGGCATAAGTTACAATATTAATGATAGTAATAGAGGTGCGCGATAGACTTACCTCTATGCGGTGTTCCCTGGACAACGCAAACTCATACACCAAAAATGTCATTAAATGGACTTCTGACTTCAAACTACCGTGACCCGACGTCATATTTGACTACTTCCGCAGTGTGCATCGTACCGTTTTCTCTGGTTTTGTGCATGCCCCTTTTACATCTGGGAACCACACCTCTGTTCCCCCCCCCCCTCCCCACTACTCCTGGTGAAATCCGAAGTCAACTAAAGGTTAAATGATAACTAACATAATAAAAAATTATAAAATAACTAATAGGTATGTGGGACACGCCATCTCTTAACGCGTCATCGTATGCCTGAACGCCAGGATTGGGAGGTGCGGCCTTAAAACTCTGTACAAACAGTGGCCGATCAGTAGCCTCTGTTTGTTTAACCTAATCCGCCACCCTGATCATGATTAAGCTCCCTGAGTGTACACTTTACTCACAATAACCCTACTAAATAAACGTGTTCTGTGCTATACGTCTGTTTCCCCTATAGCTAGGCTATAGCTTAGCTAGTTCTGGGAGACTAGCTAGATGTAGGAGAATCTGACACACAGAGATTTCTGAGTCAGTCAGGATTTACTAGTGTAGCAATCCGCTACAGGTAGATTCATACATACAGAAAATTAGACGCATTTTTTTTTCATAAAGCTGAATCTTTAGCCAATTTTTCATTCATATTAAGTGAAACGTTTTAGACCCTACTATGTATTAAATTTATTTAAAATTTATTAGATTTTGTGGCTGCAAACCCCTTTTTCTTATCCCGAAGAGCACTAAACTACGCTTACCTTAGAATGTGGCTCAAGCATCGAACATTCATCGCCCTCAGCTAGTTGGTAACCCACAGG